TTTTTTAATTTTGTTAATTGTAGAAAATTGTAGTAGTACAGTACTTACCTATAGTTGCATGTCTTATTACCCTTTTTGCCACCAACTTTTTCACGAAAAATCCGCTTATAATTGTAACTCGTGGATTCATCTTTTACCAATTTCATAAAATGTCCACGTAGACATTTTTGTTCCGTTGGCAAAATACCATACTCTTGCAATTTTGTGATTAGACCTAAACCGTCATTTAGGTCTGACCACTCTTTAAGGTCGAATAAATTTACATGTTTTTCAGCTGACATAGTTTACGTTACTTTTAATGTATTCGCGTAAGTAGAGAAAAACGAAGTGATCGATAATATTTTGTACGTGGTAATTAAAACTTGCGAAAATTGACATTTTTTGTTATCAAAATGTATAAAGTGAAACCTCTAAATACCGGACACTCTTGGTCGCTTATTAAGTGTCGTCCGCTATTTGGAGGTGTCCGCTATTAAGAGGGGAAATACAATGAGTACACACTTCACCGTTCCAAAAATTCCGTCCGTTATTTGGAAGTGTCCGTTAAAGGAGGTTTCACTGTAATAGTTTTCGTTAGATATACTTAATCTACAATTTTATGGTGTTTTAATGGAACAATAAACCTAATAAAATGTGTTATTTATATAATTWTTTTAGTTTTCGTYGTTTCTTTTATACGATTTTAATTTAATGGTAYTTTAATGGAAYAGTACACCTAATAAAATGTGTTTTCATTTTTTTTTGACCCGAGCARTAAACTAATCGGTGCRACGAATTYACCTTTTTAATTTAACTCARTGATCTACTTTAGGTRGAGTTGAATAACAGATCGAGGGATATTTTCGATTTTAATTATGCCTGATAAAGCAAATAACTCYGCTCCGTAATCTTCATAAAAGCTCAAAATGCTCTGATTTATAAAAAAATAGTGCAAAMAAATGTCTACCRTGTTGGTAATGAACGTGGACGTGGCGGGCGGARATRGCTTCCGTGAACACCGCACCACAAATGATCACTAAAAATTTAGTATCAAACTACTTATTTAAAAGAATTATGAAAAAGCGTTTTACTTCATTAGCCTATAACTTGAAAACTAAGTTCGAGCCCCAAATTCTGACTTCACCATCGTTTTGAGCGTACTTAACTACA